AAAACAAGAAAACTATGTTTATTATGTTGATCACAAGTATAACTTTAAATATTTTTTATTTTTAGGTTTCACCTGCAAGTCACGCTTTATTTGAAGTGAGGGACAATTCTTCATCATACATGATTGATATAACTCTACATGCATGTAGTTGTAGAATGTTTCAAGTGGATCAACTTCCCTGTCCACATGCACTGGCAGTAATAGCAACATTGAAGCTGAATGTATATGACTTTTGCTCTATGTATTACACAAGAGATGCATATCTAAATACCTACAAAGAGACTGTATTTCCTGTAGGTAATAAATCAGAATGGAATTTGCCAGAAGATGTAAGTAATAGAGTTGTTTTTGCTCCAAACCAAAAGAGAAGCTCTGGACGGCCTACTGAGAAGAGAAAGAAGCCAGCATATGAAAGATCACAAGTTGTGAAATGTGGAAGATGCGGTGAATCCGGGCACAATCGTCGAACATGCAGGAACTTGGTGCCACTTAACCGGAATGACAAAAAACTGAAAATAAAGAAAGATCCAAAGAAATTCAAATAGCTTAGCATAATTTTTTTACAAAATGATATTCTTTGTAATTGCAAATTGTTTCATTTTATTGCCGAACGACGTATTTTTTGGATTATACAAGTTGATAGATTTATGCATTGAGCTTTCGTTATTCTCACGATGTCACTTATTTCTGGAAAAGGGCTGTGTAAACAAACATTGATTGTAACTCTGTTTTTGATGATTGTGACCGTCTGTGATCATTTCAAGCATAAAATAAGCTCTATGTTTTTTGTTTAACTTGTGTGTTCAAACTGAATCTGAATGTCATCTTCCACTAGATGAGACCAACTTGTGTGTTCAAACTAAACCTGAATGTCATCTTCCACTAGATGGGACCAATTCTATGCTTACTTCTTTTGTAAGAGTGTCGATGATAAATGTTAAGAATTTGTGACCATTTGTGACCTGTTCATATGTAACAAGTTAATCAAACTATTCGTGACCATCTATGACTTACAGTTATATAAGAAAGTACTCATATGTGACCACTTGTGACCTATTCAAGTCATGCAAATTAACCAACTGTTGCTATTTGTGACGATTTGTGACCTGCGGTTATATAACATATTACTCGCATGTGACTATTTGTGACCTGTTTAGACTCTGCAGTATTCTCATGTGACCTGTTCAGACCGTGCGAATATAGACTTTTACATCCATAAAAAACTTCGAAGATATAAACAAAATCATTCACATAAACACCAATACTTTCACCTTGTACCAATTAACAAAAACAAATTCAAATTCAATTCCAAAACATATTACAAAGATAACATCTATCAACTACATCATAAAAGTATCTGTTTGGCTAATTTTGAACAGCTATCAATCTAATCCATCATGAAAATAATGCCATCAACAGGAGTTCATTCATCTGACTTTGAACTTCCCTTTCCAATCTGCTTCAATTGCTTGTTTTTGAACAGCAACGCTGCAATTTCAAGTCTGGCATTCCCAGCATCAAATGACATCGGCATATTGCCAAGATCATTGTGCAACAAATACTGTGCATACTTTATCACAAAAACCCCACAATCATGCCTGTAATATTTAAAGAAGACAAACCATAAGTAATTACAAAATGTTGATGGAAAATGATAAAACTTGCAATGCCCATAACGAAACTTACCCATTTTGTTGTTGGGGTAAACCACGGACAATATTAACATGCAGTTCCCCAGATTTGTCACCAATACTATCACTAGTTTCCTTCCATAGCCCGACAAATTTTAAAAGGTGTGTAAGAGTCTTCACAAGCGATAAAACCCCTTCGCGAACCTTGTTGTCCTTGTATGATTTGTTGCTTGAATTATATATGTAAAGAACATGGTTAGTAATATCAAGCTGCCCTAACATCCAATGAGCATGATTTGTGGGCATAATGGGCATCAACACAGATTCAACTTCTCTCCATGCAGTATTAAATGATAACCGTTCACCATTGATGGTTTTGATTAGCTCATCCTTCTTCTCAACAATGCTTGGGTTTTGAATAAACTTGGAGTATGTCGACTTGATTGACATATCAAATATGCAGTCTGTAGTGGTAGCTTTCATCTTCACACCTTCACC